TTGATACCAATATAATATAAAAATAACAAAAAGAGACAATATCAATATATAACAAATCAATTTCTGATTTTATTGAATATAAAACAGAGCTCGAAGAAGAATATTTCTGACTGTTGAAGTAGGTTGAGTAACTGCTTACTTACAGTATCGACGCGGTGATCAGTCATCGTTTACAACCAACACAATCTTCGGTTCTAGGAGCTGTCCCGTATTTCCGGACATATATAAATAACTCCTTTATTTATTAAAATTTAAGGCCCCACTGGACGTATTCGTAAGAAAAAAAAAAAAAAACAAAAAAAAACAGAATGAATCTTCTACTGAAACATGGAAACATACACCGCCATATGCTATGTCTTTTGTGCATTTGCTGAGTAGTGGAGCACGGCCCCACTAGACGAATTCGTAAGAAAGCAAAAAATAAAAATAAAAAGCAGAAATGAATATTCTGCTGAAACATGGAACCATACACCGCCATATGCCATGTCTTTTGGTCATTTGGTGAGTAGTGGAGCAGGCCCCACTGGACGTATTCGTAAGAAAACAAAAACAAAAAAACTCGAGAGCCACTGACATCTTCATCCTAATCCATAACTGCCTACATGCGGACCTGAACGCCAATCTTCAGTATATATTAGTGGTCGGCTGGCTATTGAATTCGCTATTTGCTACTTCTGCGGAGCTTCGCGGGGCAGGTCGTCATTAGGCGACTACCCGTTAGTGCGAATTGAACCCACTACTATGTGGGATTTGCAGAAGGCAGGGGGAATGGTCCCTATATTATGCCTTGCTGACTTTTGGGGGAAGGGCCTGCGGAAATTGAAATTTCGGCAGTCCTTACCCAAAAGAAATTGCGTGGCGAGTTACCCAAATGAAACCCCTACTTTTTTTTTTGTGCGGGGTGCGGGTGGTGGTGGCCGGGGGTGCGGGGCGCGGGGGGTGCCGGGGCGGGGGGGGGGGGGGGGGGGCGGGGGGGGGGGGGGGGGGGGGGGGGGGGGGGGGGGGGGGGGGGGGGGGGGGGGGGGAGGCCCGGGGGGGGTGCGGGGGTCAGGGCACCGACGGGGGTGTTTTGGGGTGGGCGGGGGTGGGGCTCCCCCGCGGTGGCAGTCCGGGAGTCAAACCCCTACCCCGGCTTTGCCCCCGGGGGCCCCCGCCTGACAACCCTGGCGGGAGGGACACACGGCCACGACACAGACCTCTTGGGGCATCCGGAGGGGGAGAGCGGCATGGGCCCCTCAGGAGAGAGCGTACACCTGTATTTGATGATGACAACATCGAGCTCTTCCAGGACGTCTATCGGGATCATGCGACCCAGAAGGGGTGGGACGTGCCTGAGAGGATACATTTGAGAGGGATTGGGAGGTTTGAGGAGCCTATTGCACAGATTAGGGAGGAGGCGTTGACCTGGCCAGAGGTGGAGGCAAGGATGCAGAGATTGCGGGTTTCGCCTGTAGGGCGTGATAGGCTACCTATTCGCCTGGAGGAAGGGAATGCGGAAGAGTTCATCACGGCATATGAGCACTATATGAGTGATCAGGGGGTTCAGAGGGATGAGTGGACGCAGACTCTACTCATATAGACCAAGGTGGCGGGGCCGGGGGAGGTGTTGGGCGCGGGGCCGGGGGAGGG